TCATTTTGTTAGAGTTGGTTTCTTCTGTTCAATTTTTTTAATGTTGTTTTAAATAGAATTAATACATCATTTAGATATTTATTTGTGTGTGTAATTTTATTCCATTTTAAATTATTTTTGTTTGACATGAATTTGGATCTTTTACTTTTTATTTTAGGGAAAAGATCTATTTTAGTCCCTTAATTATATCCTCTGGTTAAATTTGCTTTCTTAATTTTTTTCCTTTTTCATTTTATATGTCATTTTTCCCTTTAAACAAACTATAAACTTCCATTATGTATATAGCATCGAATGAATTTGAGCTTAATTCATATAGTTTTTTCTTTTAATGTATTTTTCATTTTTTGAATAAACATGGTTTATTTATCTTATGGTTTTGGATGCATATGTACTGTATTTTGAGCAAATTAGGATTTATCACATTGTTTTAAAAAGTTTAATTTGTCTTCATGGTTTTAAGTTAACAAGTTAAGATTTTTGTTGTAATATAAAAATTTAATTTAAACATTTTTACAACAATATCATAATTAGAATCATATGTTTTCTACATTATCATAATTTATAATCATGTTAATTTGTCTCTCTTTTATTGTAGTTGAATTATAATAAACTTATATAGAATGAACTTCTAAAATATAAATTAAAGATTTACATTTATTTATTTGATTATAGGAATTATAAGAATTATTATGTTGCAAAATTTCTTGTGGTGATACTATTCATAATCCTCCTTGCAACAAGAGTAAGTTATGTGAGGAAGGAACACAACACATTTTTGTTGTTAATCTAGAATAATAGAGTTCATTTGCACAATTAACACATTTAATTTTAATATGTTGTACATCTAAACCATATATTTGATTTCTTATGTTTTGTAAAAAACATAAGTGCAATATTTGTAATACGTGTTAGTTTGTTACTAGGAAATGAGTATAAGACGATGTTTTTAAACACATTCTTAGCCCAAGTTTCACTTTTATGATGAATTGTTAATTAATTGACTATTGTAAAAGCAGTCTCACTTTTAAAAGCGTTAAGTAACACGTTATTTTAATGATGTTCAATAAAAAGATCTATACAAAGTAAATGAAAATGAATTAGGAAATATTAAATATTAACCCATAACTATTGTACTAATATTGAAAACCAATAATATTCCAAATGAATAATAAATAAATTAGAAAATATTAAATATTAATCCGTAATTCAACTTCCGGTATCAATTTGTATTTTTAGTTTCCGTGGAAATAAACCAAATTCACATAACAACGTGTACTTGATTCCTAGTTCCACTAATGGAATTTAAAATTAGAGTGCAACTTACATGAAAAGAGAAATCATTTTGTTAGAGTTGGTTTCTTCTGCTCAATTTTTTTAATGTTGTTTTAAATAGAATGAATACATCATTTAGATATTTATTTGTGTGTGTAATTTTATTCCATTTTAAATTAATTTTGTTTGACATGAATTTGGATCTTTTACTTTTTATTTTAGGGAAAAGATCTATTTTAGTCCCTTAATTATATCCTCTGGTTAAATTTGCTCTCTTAATTTTTTTTCCTTTTTCATTTTATATGTCATTTTTCCCTTTAAACAAACTATAAACTTCCATTATGTATATAGCATCGAATGAATTTGAGCTTAATTCATATAGTTTTTTCTTTTAATGTATTTTTCATTTTTTGAGTAAACATGGTTTATTTATCTTATGATTTTGGATGCATATTTACTGTATTTTGAGCAAATTAGGATTTATCACATTGTTTTAAAAAGTTTAATTTGTCTTCATGGTTTTAAGTTAACAAGTTAAGATTTTTGTTGTAATATAAAAATTTAATTTAAACATTTTTACAACAATATCATAATTAGAATCATATGTTTTCTACATTATCATAATTTATAATCATGTTAATTTGTGTCTCTTTTATTGTAGTTGAATTATAATAAAATTATATAGAATGAACTTCTAAAATATAAATTAAAGATTTACATTTATTTATTTGATTATAGGAATTATAAGAATTATTATGTTGCAAAATTTCTTGTGGTAATACTATTCATAATCCTCCTTGCAACAAGAGTAAGTTATGTGAGGAAGGAACACAACACATTTTTGTTGTTAATCTAGAATAATAGAGTTCATTTGCACAATTAACACATTTAATTTTAATATGTTGTACATCTAAACCATATATTTGATTTCTTATGTTTTGTAAAAAAAATAAGTGCAATATTTGTAATACGTGTTAGTTTGTTACTAGGAAATGTGTATAAGACGATGTTTTTAAACACATTCTTAGCCCAAGTTTCACTTTTATGATGAATTGTTAATTAATTGACTATTGTAAAAGCAGTCTCACTTTTAAAAGCGTTAAGTAACACGTTATTTTAATGATGTTCAATAAAAAGATCTATACAAAGTAAATGAAAATGAATTAGGAAATATTAAATATTAACCCATAACTATTGTACTAATATTGAAAACCAATAATATTCCAAATGAATAATAAATAAATTAGAAAATATTAAATATTAATCCGTAATTCAACTTCCGGTATCAATTTGTATTTTTAGTTTCCGTGGAAATAAACCAAGTTCACATAACAACGTGTACTTGATTCCTAGTTCCACTAATGGAATTTAAAATTAGAGTGCAACTTACATGAAAAGAGAAATCATTTTGTTAGAGTTGGTTTCTTCTGCTCAATTTTTTTAATGTTGTTTTAAATAGAATGAATACATCATTTAGATATTTATTTGTGTGTGTAATTTTATTCCATTTTAAATTAATTTTGTTTGACATGAATTTGGATCTTTTACTTTTTATTTTAGGGAAAAGATCTATTTTAGTCCCTTAATTATATCCTCTGGTTAAATTTGCTCTCTTAATTTTTTTTTCCTTTTTCATTTTATATGTCATTTTTCCCTTTAAACAAACTATAAACTTCCATTATGTATATAGCATCGAATGAATTTGAGCTTAATTCATATAGTTTTTTCTTTTAATGTATTTTTCATTTTTCGAGTGAACATGGTTTATTTATCTTATGGTTTTGGATGCATATGTACTGTATTTTGAGCAAATTAGGATTTATCACATTGTTTTAAAAAGTTTAATTTGTCTTTATGGTTTTAAGTTAACAAGTTAAGATTTTTGTTGTAATATAAAAATTTAATTTAAACATTTTTACAACAATATCATAATTAGAATCATATGTTTTCTACATTATCATAATTTATAATCATGTTAATTTGTGTCTCTTTTATTGTAGTTGAATTATAATATACTTATATAGAATGAACTTCTAAAATATAAATTAAAGATTTACATTTATTTATTTGATTATAGGAATTATAAGAATTATTATGTTGCAAAATTTCTTGTGGTAATACTATTCATAATCCTCCTTGCAACAAGAGTAAGTTATGTGAGGAAGGAACACAACACATTTTTGTTGTTAATCTAGAATAATAGAGTTCATTTGCACAATTAACACATTTAATTTTAATATGTTGTACATCTAAACCATATATTTGATTTCTTATGTTTTGTAAAAAAAATAAGTGCAATATTTGTAATACGTGTTAGTTTGTTACTAGGAAATGAGTATAAGACGATCTTTTTAAACACATTCTTAGCCCAAGTTTCACTTTTATGATGAATTGTTAATTAATTGACTATTGTAAAAGCAGTCTCACTTTTAAAAGCGTTAAGTAACACGTTATTTTAATGATGTTCAATAAAAAGATCTATACAAAGTAAATGAAAATGAATTAGGAAATATTAAATATTAACCCATAACTATTGTACTAATATTGAAAACCAATAATATTCCAAATGAATAATAAATAAATTAGAAAATATTAAATATTAATCCGTAATTCAACTTCCGGTATCAATTTGTATTTTTAGTTTCCGTGGAAATAAACCAAATTCACATAACAACGTGTACTTGATTCCTAGTTCCACTAATGGAATTTAAAATTAGAGTGCAACCACTACAAGAAAAATGATAGATTGGGACGGTTATTTTGGTTGATTACGACGGTTAAAACCGTCGCAATTTACAATCTACGACGGTAGAAGTACCGTCGCAGAATCGTGCGTCCCCAGCCTATTTCGCGACGGTTGCAAAAACTGTCACGCACAACAGATAGCGACGGTTATATACCGTCGTGAATTTGACTTTATTTTTTGTTTTTGTTGTTGTTTGCGACGGTTATTCTACCGTCGTAGGTTAGAAATTGCGGCGGTTTTAACCGTCGTAATTTGATTTATAAATTTCAAATAATATTTTTATTTAAATTATTATTTAGTAAAATAATTTTAAATATAATATTATTTTACTATAATATTTTACTATTATATTTAAATTATTATTTACTTTAATATTTTTTTATTTATAGTATTTTTATTTTATTTTCTATCACTTTTCAACATAATAAAGTTAATTACAATAAAAACATTTAATATCAAATAATCATCAATAATATCAAAAAAATGTGATCAAAGGTAAAAAGAAGTGCAAATTTTACCAATAAACAAGAAAAATTCAAATATCATCAAAGGCCAAATTTCATTTTAATATTTACATTGGTTTGCTACAACTTGAGAGAATTACAAAAAATCTTCTATGAGTCTTCAACGATTTCACTTCTAAAACTTCAACAATTCGTTCTGCACACATCCGAAACTCTTCTCAGAACTTCATCTCTCCAAAACTCACTCTCTAACTGCTTCTCTACACAAAATCATTTTCATCAACAAGTCCGAATCGGCTTCTCAACAACGATAATCAACATCACGCATACTTCATCAAAACTGCATCATCATCATGTTCAATGATTTTCAAATCACACAGGACAATAATTCCATATAACACTGTAGTAAAAACAAGAAGCAAATTCGTGGAAGAGATTTGAAGAAGATGAATTACCAATGAAATGTGAATTCAAAGTGAGAAAGTGAGGTATTCGTACCTAAGTTTCTGAAGAGATTGCTATCTGATTTTCTCACCATCTTCATCAATTTGAAGAGCCTTCGGAGCTGCTCTGAAAACATCAGCATGTAGAGGAGTCCAAGATCCTGCCAGAAGAAGTGAAAGTAAGAAGTTACTGTTGGATTGCTCATCTCTTCGCATAGAAAAGTGCAGAATCATCTGAGATTCATGGTCATTTCAAGATTTCTTCCCAACTAAAATCACACCTTTTACTCCCATGTAAACAAAACGATAGTCAGAGCAACATATTTCCTTATTTTGCTGGTCTCTGTCGGAATAAGTATTCATTCTAAAGTTATCGAGATACAAGTTGAGCCAATCATCACAAAAGAACATCGGAGTGATGTATGGTACGTAATCAGGATACTCCTGCAATAGTTAGAAAAAGAAATTACTTAGTAAATCATCATCTGTAGTATAACATAACATATGATAACTCTAATGCAACAAGAGGATTATCTAGGTTGACAGGGGCAGACTTCAAAGTAAATTATGAAAAGGCACTACAAATGTACAACAATGAATGATAAAGTGATGAAAAGCCAAAAATGATACCTTCACAAAATGCCAATCCTTCAAATACGGTACAGATGCAGAGTCACCATTACTTACACCAATTTGATTACTGCATGAACTGCAGAACCTTCATATTTAAAGCAAAGTCGAACGAAATCGGAAACCAACATGTCCTCCCTTTTTTTATCAGTAAAATCTCTGGTATCACAGTCTGCAACCTTTCCATGACCAAAATTTCAATCAGCTGATAGCATCAACATTTCAAATTTTCAAACGAGTTAAAGGAATCTCAATCTTACAAAGTTTGAGTGTAACTACAAATTACAATCACAAATTATATCCAACAACCAATGTTAAATATTGATTTTATGGAAATTAACTTAGAAGTAACAATTTATCAACCTGAACTTTGGAGGAACCAAAATGAGTGGAGAAAAATTGGAGATTAGGTTTTCCATTAGGGTTAACCCAATCAGTGCAAGCCTTCCAATGATTGTCCATTAATCCAGTTAGCATCACTGGTTTGTTCTTCTCCATATATCTTTCAACAAATTCATTGTAGCTTAATTCCTTCCCATTTACCTTCTCTATTTCTCCCTTTATTTTGATTCTCTATTTGAGCGAGATGAGCAGAGATTGAAAGATTCTGAGGGCGTGTGGAGGTATTGCGAAGTGGCTCATCATCGATTTGAATAGGAGAAGAGAGAAAGATGGTTGAACTTTGACAGAGCGGTGGAGGAGTTGACGAAGGCTCGAAGCGAAGATGATAGACGGAATCGGAGGCATTAACAGAGAGATTCGAGAGAAGAGATCGGAGAAGCGTTTCTGTTAATTGTCGAAGGCAGACTGAAGCTGTGATGAACGGGGCAAGGTGACAGAGACAGCGCCGGAACAGAATAAGCAGTGGTGAGAGCGGCCGCGATTTTGAGAAGGAGAGGAAGTCGTGTTTTAAGAAGAAGATGAAACAACTTCTTAACCCTAGCTCTATTTCATCAAACGAAAAATTTGTTTTTTTCTTTTCTTTTTTATTTTATTATTTGTTTTATTAAATAAAAAAATATGAAATAAAAATAATGCTTAAATTTGAGAAAAGAAGTGAAATCGTAATAAAGAAGAAAAATATAAAGGAAATTGTAATTTAATAAATAAAATTATGAAAATCTTAAAATAATATTGATGGGTGTGAAAATTTATTTTGTTGGTAATTTATTTTATTATTATTATTATTATTATTATTATTATTATTATTAATAAAAGAGAAAAAGAAGGGGAAATGAAAGAAAAAAAGTGGGAAAGTAAAAGAATAAAAAAAAGTAGCGATTATGAATGGCTAATGTAGTTACGACAGTTCACCTAATTGTCGCGGATGTGAAAAGAGGGCGGTTTTTTGGTAACTGTCGCAATTATGTTACTCATAATGCTTGAAAATCTACGACGGTTGAGCCTAACCGTCGTGACAACTGTCGCAATTCAGGAATAAGGACGATTTTGTGGGAACTGTCGCAATTTATGTGTCGTAAATCTCTTTTTTTCTTGTAGTGAACTTACATGGAAAGAGAAATCATTTTGTTAGAGTTGGTTTCTTCTGCTCAATTTTTTTAATGTTGTTTTAAATAGAATGAATACATCATTTAGATATTTATTTGTGTGTGTAATTTTATTCCATTTTAAATTAATTTTGTTTGACATGAATTTGGATCTTTTACTTTTTATTTTAGGGAAAAGATCTATTTTAGTCCCTTAATTATATCCTCTGGTTAACTTTGCTCTCTTAATTTTTTTCCTTTTTCATTTTATATGTCATTTTTCCCTTTAAACAAACTATAAACTTTCATTATGTATATAGCATCGAATGAATTTGAGCTTAATTCATATAGTTTTTTCTTTTAATGTATTTTTCATTTTTTTGAGTAAACATGGTTTATTTATCTTATGGTTTTGGATGCATATTTACTGTATTTTGAGCAAATTAGGATTTATCACATTGTTTTAAAAAGTTTAATTTGTCTTCATGGTTTTAAGTTAACAAGTTAAGATTTTTGTTGTAATATAAAAATTTAATTTAAACATTTTTACAACAATATCATAATTAGAATCATATGTTTTCTACATTATCATAATTTATAATCATGTTAATTTGTGTCTCTTTTATTGTAGTTGAATTATAATAAACTTATATATAATGAACTTCTAAAATATAAATTAAAGATTTACATTTATTTATTTGATTATAGGAATTATAAGAATTATTATGTTGCAAAATTTCTTGTGGTAATACTATTCATAATCCTCCTTGCAACAAGAGTAAGTTATGTGAGGAAGGAACACAACACATTTTTGTTGTTAATCTAGTATAATAGAGTTCATTTGCACAATTAACACATTTAAGTTTAATATGTTGTACATCTAAACCATATATTTGATTTCTTATGTTTTGTAAAAAAAATAAGTGCAATTGTAGTAATACGTGTTAGTTTGTTACTAGGAAATAAGTATAAGACGATGTTTTTAAACACATTCTTAGCCCAATTTTCCCTTTTATGATGAATTGTTAATTAATTGACTATTGTAAAAGCAGTCTCACTTTTAAAAGCGTTAAGTAACACGTTATTTTAATGATGTTCAATAAAAAGATCTATACAAAGTAAATGAAAATGAATTAGGAAATATTAAATATTAACCCATAACTATTGTACTAATATTGAAAACCAATAATATTCCAAATGAGTAATAAATAAATTAGAAAATATTAAATATTAATCCATAATTCAACTTCCGGTATCAATTTGTATTTTTAGTTTCCGTGGAAATAAACCAAATTCACGTAACAACGTGTACTTGATTCCTAGTTCCACTAATGGAATTTAAAATTAGAGTGCAACTTACATGAAAAGAGAAATCATTTTGTTAGAGTTGGTTTCTTCTGCTCAATTTTTTTAATGTTGTTTTAAATAGAATGAATACATCATTTAGATATTTATTTGTGTGTGTAATTTTATTCCATTTTAAATTAATTTTGTTTGACATGAATTTGGATCTTTTACTTTTTATTTTAGGGAAAAGATCTATTTTAGTCCCTTAATTATATCCTCTGTTTAACTTTGCTCTCTTAATTTTTTTCCTTTTTCATTTTATATGTCATTTTTCCCTTTAAACAAACTATAAACTTTCATTATGTATATAGCATCGAATGAATTTGAGCTTAATTCATATAGTTTTTTCTTTTAATGTATTTTTCATTTTTTTGAGTAAACATGGTTTATTTATCTTATGGTTTTGGATGCATATTTACTGTATTTTGAGCAAATTAGGATTTATCACATTGTTTTAAAAAGTTTAATTTGTCTTCATGGTTTTAAGTTAACAAGTTAAGATTTTTGTTGTAATATAAAAATTTAATTTAAACATTTTTACAACAATATCATAATTAGAATCATATGTTTTCTACATTATCATAATTTATAATCATGTTAATTTGTGTCTCTTTTATTGTAGTTGAATTATAATAAACTTATATATAATGAACTTCTAAAATATAAATTAAAGATTTACATTTATTTATTTGATTATAGGAATTATAAGAATTATTATGTTGCAAAATTTCTTGTGGTAATACTATTCATAATCCTCCTTGCAACAAGAGTAAGTTATGTGAGGAAGGAACACAACACATTTTTGTTGTTAATCTAGTATAATAGAGTTCATTTGCACAATTAACACATTTAAGTTTAATATGTTGTACATCTAAACCATATATTTGATTTCTTATGTTTTGTAAAAAAAATAAGTGCAATTGTAGTAATACGTGTTAGTTTGTTACTAGGAAATAAGTATAAGACGATGTTTTTAAACACATTCTTAGCCCAATTTTCCCTTTTATGATGAATTGTTAATTAATTGACTATTGTAAAAGCAGTCTCACTTTTAAAAGCGTTAAGTAACACGTTATTTTAATGATGTTCAATAAAAAGATCTATACAAAGTAAATGAAAATGAATTAGGAAATATTAAATATTAACCCATAACTATTGTACTAATATTGAAAACCAATAATATTCCAAATGAGTAATAAATAAATTAGAAAATATTAAATATTAATCCATAATTCAACTTCCGGTATCAATTTGTATTTTTAGTTTCCGTGGAAATAAACCAAATTCACGTAACAACGTGTACTTGATTCCTAGTTCCACTAATGGAATTTAAAATTAGAGTGCAACTTACATGAAAAGAGAAATCATTTTGTTAGAGTTGGTTTCTTCTGCTCAATTTTTTTAATGTTGTTTTAAATAGAATGAATACATCATTTAGATATTTATTTGTGTGTGTAATTTTATTCCATTTTAAATTAATTTTGTTTGACATGAATTTGGATCTTTTACTTTTTATTTTAGGGAAAAGATCTATTTTAGTCCCTTAATTATATCCTCTGTTTAACTTTGCTCTCTTAATTTTTTTCCTTTTTCATTTTATATGTCATTTTTCCCTTTAAACAAACTATAAACTTTCATTATGTATATAGCATCGAATGAATTTGAGCTTAATTCATATAGTTTTTTCTTTTAATGTATTTTTCATTTTTTTGAGTAAACATGGTTTATTTATCTTATGGTTTTGGATGCATATTTACTGTATTTTGAGCAAATTAGGATTTATCACATTGTTTTAAAAAGTTTAATTTGTCTTCATGGTTTTAAGTTAACAAGTTAAGATTTTTGTTGTAATATAAAAATTTAATTTAAACATTTTTACAACAATATCATAATTAGAATCATATGTTTTCTACATTATCATAATTTATAATCATGTTAATTTGTGTCTCTTTTATTGTAGTTGAATTATAATAAACTTATATATAATGAACTTCTAAAATATAAATTAAAGATTTACATTTATTTATTTGATTATAGGAATTATAAGAATTATTATGTTGCAAAATTTCTTGTGGTAATACTATTCATAATCCTCCTTGCAACAAGAGTAAGTTATGTGAGGAAGGAACACAACACATTTTTGTTGTTAATCTAGTATAATAGAGTTCATTTGCACAATTAACACATTTAAGTTTAATATGTTGTACATCTAAACCATATATTTGATTTCTTATGTTTTGTAAAAAAAATAAGTGCAATTGTAGTAATACGTGTTAGTTTGTTACTAGGAAATAAGTATAAGACGATGTTTTTAAACACATTCTTAGCCCAATTTTCCCTTTTATGATGAATTGTTAATTAATTGACTATTGTAAAAACAGTCTCACTTTTAAAAGCGTTAAGTAACACGTTATTTTAATGATGTTCAATAAAAAGATCTATACAAAGTAATTGAAAATGAATTAGGAAATATTAAATATTAACCCATAACTATTGTACTAATATTGAAAACCAATAATATTCCAAATGAGTAATAAATAAATTAGAAAATATTAAATATTAATCCATAATTCAACTTCCGGTATCAATTTGAATTTTTAGTTTCCGTGGAAATAAACCAAATTCACGTAACAACGTGTACTTGATTCCTAGTTCCACTAATGG